TCTAGGACTTGTAGCCGGGGCACAATCCGTAAACAAGCGGGGATATTTTTGTTGTTTTAGTTTGCTAGTGCATCAACACAAATAATTTTGAGCCTTGTTTCTCATTACCTCAGCCATTGATCTCGGCAATGAGTGACAAGGCTCAGAATTCATATGCACCTATTCTATTGGGCCATGTTTTCATTTGAGGGTTCATGAAGACCTTACAACATTTTGCACCCTTGACACACCCCATTGTCGCCATTGTCACGTGTACAAATTTGCTTCAAGTTCAGAAACTCTTTATGGCCACAAAGAAAGTAATCTGTTGTGAATATGGATTATTCAGTCAATGACACAGGTGATTTGAAAAATGTCTGAGTTCTACTAACAAGAGTTAAACCTGTGGCCAACTGTTTACTAGTCCACCATCCACCATGCGCTACCTCTTGCGTTTCATCAGCTCCTTAATAGCGCTCTTGATTTCTTAGGTGTGGCTTTCCAGGCAGAGAGTCGATGGAACGCTCTATGTAGATGGCATAGAAGTGGGTTCAGGCAAAGCGACTGGCTCACCCACCTACATAAACGCACTTGAGAGGCTCTTCTTAGGAGGGGTTCCCGAGGAATTTGACGCCAAACGAGTTCCGGTCAGTGGAATTGCAGTCTCTTTATTCGATACACCTTGTGGGTACTAATCCGGTCGGCTGGGGTTGTACGTGATCCCAAATGAGTTCCGGAACTTCATTGATGTTCTAGACTGCGTGCAGTCTCTCTTTTTCTCCTGATTTTTGTCTCGTGCCGTCCGTCACGCGCGTGATCATTTTCATGTCTTGCGCGTTTCGCTAGACGGACTAAGAAAAAAAAGAGAGACTGCTGCTTGTAGGGTATTGATGTTCCCACCAATAGCGTTGCCCCAACGTTCAATATATAAGCGCAACATACCTAATTTACAATCCCTTGATTCCCTATGAAGAATTGCTAGCCCTTAAAACGCCAACTTTGCATTCTTTTTAAGGTGGTAGATTAGCTTAAACAATTCACTTGTTAAATCAAAATTTTGTTTTACTCCCCTAACCCCTTCCCCCTCCCATCGCCACGCCCCGCACCCACCGCAGCACTGCAATTCCTTAGAAACTAACCCCTCAAATCACTTTAGACTGGTTCAAAAAACAGTTTCCCAGGATGCATCACGAACGTGACAGTGGATGACGAGAAGATCAATACTCCAGTAACTAACCTGTATAAGGCGCAGAACTGTTACCGCGACAGCCCTGAATCAGGAGTCAGCTTTAAGAATGGAGGAGGTTACCTCAAAGTCGGTGAGTTGACTTCAGCTTTTTGACGAGCTGCGAGGATTTGCCTAATTCCATTGACACTGCGGAAAAGAATGGTTTTATGGGGTCATGTTACGGCCACGTTGCTGTTTTAGGTCAGTTACGTGGACAAGTCATACAAAAAGAGAGGCGTAGGGGAAGAAGCGTATTTCCGAGGAGGATTATAACCGGAAAAGAAAAAGCATTTCAAAATAAGCTATAGCAGGGCTGATCGAGAAACCTTTTGCTTTTACTGGTTTTAAATTAAGCTTCAAAACGACGTAATCGAATTCAGTTTAGTGATCTTAACCAAAGGCGTTTTTGAGCGACGCACGCCAACCGGAAAAGAGACCTTTTCTCTTTTAATATGCCTGGAGGCTACCACATTTGTAACGTTAAGTGTCTCTACTCTTTTAGAGACGATTTGGCGGAAGGTTTGGGCAAGACCATTGCTCTCGAATGCAAAAAGTCCGCTTCCGGTAGACGTTCGTCGCTTAAAAACTTTTTTTTAAGCTCACTTTTAATACATTTAGAGGAGGGCTTTTTTTAGGGGGGGGGGGGTGGGGGAGGTTACTATCAAATGTACTGTTTACTGGTAGTTGGACCTATAACCTGGGGGGAGGGGCTTATAAGTTTTGTCAGTTTTTGGTACTTCGTTCCTTTCTTGTACCTGACGTGTTTGCGTTTTTTGCCAGCCGATAAATACTCAGTTGGACAAAGACAAGAAATTTCGCTTGAAATCAAGCCGACATCCCACACTGGACTCCTGTTGTCGTCTTGGAATGCAAAAGGAGACTACGTTGTCCTAGAGATGTCCAATGGAAATGTAAGTAACGTTCTTGGTCGCTGTGATGCCTTCAACTTGAACTGGTCCAAGTTATGGTGTAAAGTTAACCCGTCAAAGGTCGGATCAATTATACGTGTCTGGGAAACTGCCCACCTACCCCTCCCCTTACCTAACATTAATACTTACTTCACACTTAGGGCAAAATGATGACTTCGGGGAGGGGTAGGTGGGCAGTTTCTTGGAATGTTCCAAGAGTGACCTAGCCTGTGTACAGACCTCTCCTCCTCTCATTTTTCCTGAGGGGAGGGGGGTCTGTACACAGGTTAAGAGTGACCAACATCAGTTTTTTCCTTTAGATGTCAGTCCATAATCAAGAGAAATGTTGATCAGTATTGATATAATAATAGGCCACTTCCGAGTTCCAAAAACCCTCACTTTCAAAATGAGGCCAAGAGCACAACCTCGCTTGTGAAAATGAGTTTAATTTGCATAAGAATGAAAAATCATTTCCATATCAAAGGCTGTGCACTTAACCTCGTTTTGATACAGAGGCCCGAGAAAACTCGGAAATTGCCTATCGCCAAAGGGGAAGTGCTTTCATCTTTCATCAAATTTTCTTAACTTAACCCATAAGATCAATTTGGTTAACTGAATGTGTATTTGGTTATTGGGGCTTAAAGGGATGATAGTTGTGGTGTCGTTTGATGCATTTTTCTCGCACGTTAAGGTTCTACAAAACAACCAATCGGTAGAGTAGCTACGAAATTTCCGGCGTAAAACTCACACGCAGAGAAGGAAAGCGTGGATGCTTTAAAGTCGTGCGTTATATATGGGCCATTTACACACTCTAGTTTGTTACTGAGTTTTCAGAAGTTCGCTCAGCTTGTGAAAGTCGAACATTAGAGGGTTGCGTTGCCAAATTAAGCGATGAATGTGAAGAATTTATGACATTGTCACAGCTTCAAGACAATTATGTCTTCTAGGTGTCATAATTCAGAGACAAGATGACTTTCGTTTCGCCTTGTAAAACAATTTCTGCAAATTGCCGTTATTCGTTTCATCAGCAAGCAGTGAAAAACAATTAGAGGATAGTATTAAGTTTATTGCTGCCAAAGAAAACGCTCATAGAGAAAAGCATCGTCTTGTATATCTTGTACCATTGACGTCATTCAGTTTACCCACATACCGCAAACGTCTCCCAATTTTGAACAACTATAGGGGGTTATGATTGGTTATGAAGAATAAGCTGGGGGATTTGAGCCTATCAGAATCTGAGAACTATTTTGAATGAATAATTAAGTGTTTTTATTGATGGTTTTAGATCATATTCCGTGCAGAAAACGGTGGCGGCCAGCTGGTAGCGCAGCACAGTGTCAACGACCCTCTTCAATTCTGTGATGGGGAGTGGCATAAGATACAAGTGTGGAAAAGAAACAATATTGTGCAAATACAAGTGGATGAAAACCCTTCTTATGAAAGCGTGCCACTCGGAGCCCAGACCAGTGCTGATATCTATGATCCACTGTATGTCGGAGGACTGCCTGGTACAGTGAAAAATCCTTTTATCTTCCTAAAAAACATAAAACTGTAAATTTCTGAAAGTAAGCCCCTACTTTTGTAAGCTCCTCCAAATAAAACCTGTAGTGTAGAACATTCTTTACCACTGGGCAGCCGGGCCTCCTTTAATTCAAAAAGTGGAACAATGTATTCCGTTTTCACTCTCTATGAGACGGTCACCTCCCTAAAACGGAGGCCTAGTGTTGGTCCCTGCTGTTCTCCTGTCATATCCTCTGACTCTCTATGAGGCAGACACCTCCCTAAAATGGACACCTAGAGTTGGTCCCTTTGGTTTGTCATTCATTTTCATTGATTCTCTTAAAAGACCGACACCTCCTTAAAATGGACACCTAGAGTTAGTCCCTGCTGTTTTTCAGTCATTTTCTTTGACTCTCTATGAGGCAGTCACCTCTCTGGAATGGACACCTAGAGTTGGTCCCTTTCGTTTTTCATTCATTTTCATTGATTCTCTTTAAAGACCGACACCTGCTTAAAATGGACACCTAGAGTTGGTCCCTTACGTTCTTCAGTCATTTTCATTGTCTCTGTATAAGGCGGACACCTTCCTAAAATGGTCACCTAGATCTGGTCCTCATTGTTCTTTCTTTTGCTTATTTGTAAGCCAGACACCTCTTTAGGGTGGACTCTTGTTTCTAGTCCTAGCGTTGCATGTACAGTTTCTTATTTTTCAAGCAGTATTGCCTATTAAACGATTGTATTTTGTTTTGTAGTGGGCGAAGCTGCCAAGGGTGTTACAGTAACAGAAGGTTATACAGGATGTGTGCGTAACTTGATTTCCAAGAAACCTGGCGGAGACCCTCAGACTCTGTACCTTGCTAATCCGCTGATGATGGGTGGTGATTTGTATCTTGGTGGATGTCCTTACAAGTGATCAAATTTTTCTTTAGATATCTGTCAAGAGAAAGATATAAGGGATGTTTTGCACTTTCCAAGCAGCCTTAATAGCATTTTTATTTTGTAGCTTATAAGTAACGTAATTTTGTAATAAAATGCAGTTTTAATATCAGCGTTGTCTTGTTGTGTTGTACTTTCCTTGTCCATTCAACTTGTATTTCACCCTTCTCAGGGCAAGTCAAGTCAGGTTTTATTTCACTTTCCGATGAAAATACAGAGGTTAATTTTAAAGAATAATAATATATTATCGTAATCTATATAACTAAACACTGTACACCCCTCAACACCACCATACAGCTCTACACAAGACCATACATCACCATAAAAGCCTGTACAACACCATACTCTTCTATGCATCACTATGCATGTCTTATCCACATCTTACATCCCTGCTATACATTTCTTTAAACCTTTACACATTACCATACACCTCTAGTCTCAAGTATTCCATAAACCCAGGCCAACTAACAAGAAAAACGTGCTATTGAGTACCTCATATCAGAGCTACTCTCTGTTAATGAGACACTACATCGGTTTTAACACCACAGAAACCTGCACTGTCACCTATTTCTGCCGGTGCATGTAAAGTGTCAAATCTGCATCCATTGCCACTGCCAACTCAACTGAATGGTAAAGTGCAAAATGATACTAGGTTTAATAATACACTTAATTTATTTGACTTTAACTGGAGCCACTCTGTAAATTGATAAGTTTCAAGTCTCTGTTGTTGCTCAAAGTGAAATTTAGGTTCAAATGATTTAATTTCACCTAGCCTTACTTTGAATTCATTCTCAAGTTCCTTTGATTTCTAACTATTCCTAGTTATTCTTGATCACGAATAATAAGGACCAAGAGATTAATTTTGAACTGAGGATAATAAAGTTGCCATCTAAATAGGGGAAATGCCCAACATTAGCAAAATTAATTTACATTGGGTCTAGAATGTTAAAAAGTCAAAATTCAAGTTCATGTATTTTATTTTTGACATGGATATGAAAGTGTTTGAGTATGCATGGTATTTTTTTTATATTGGAACCACTCTAAAAGAAATTTAATTTCACCCCTCAAGTACAATTTTTAAATTGTTTGAAAATGATTATCATCAATCAGGAGACTACAGTGTTGTTAGTATTCACCAGAAAGGGATGGCTTTGTGCAGTCAATTGTAACAACTGAAAGGCCTAACATTGTTTATCATAAACAACATCAATACTAGTCCTAACAAGAGAATTCACCATTTTTTTTATTATAAAATATTTTTCAACTTCTTTAGGAACATCAAGTTTATTGAAAGAGTACCACCAATTGTTATAGGGGCAGCAGCAAAGCCAATTCCCTCTCTCCTTGAGATTATGGATCAGCAGCAGAGAGAAATATCTACAAACGAAGGCCTAGATGTGCTTCCTGTTGGATATGAAAGGTTACTCAATGAGAAGAGCACACAAAGAAAAGGAACGCCAGTTCTCCCCTCTCCAAAGCTCAATCCTTCACGGGTTAGAAAGGTCGGCACACCTGGTCCTTTTGAAAATTCAATTAACCACACCCAGCAGATAACTGGTACAATTACACCAAAAACTAGTAGGACTGACTGTTCTCTTCAAGAAGTTAACAAAGCTGCAGAGGATATCATTACCTCTTTGTCAGAAAAGGGTAAATTTGTTTCCCTCGAGGAGGTAAAAGCCACACTCTGCAAGGAATTTGGAAAGTCGAATTTCAGAGCATTTGGATTTTGAAAAGACAATGCTATTCCTTTCCTTCATGAACTTATCCAATTGCAAGCTAAAGTGAGTACACTGTAACTGCTCAGATTCATTCCCAGGCATCTCGGAGCTGGAGACCCATACCTATACCTAATTATTTTTCACCTAAACAGCGTTTTACTAGATCATTTTCTAATGATTCATTATTACTTTTATAGTTTCTTTCCAAGGAAAATAAGGGACTGGAACTCTCTACCAAGTGGCATTCGTACCAGTACAAATTTTTCATTATGTAAAGATCACTGTTTCTCAGCTGTTAGAAATGATTGATGGCTGTCATTTAGTTATCTTTTTTATCATTATTTATCTTATTCATTTGTATATATATATATATTATATTTAGTAAGAAATAATTTTATTTTTTATTTTTTATTTCTATTTTCATTTCATTTTTATTCTATTATTGTACTTCTGATATTGTAATTTATTTAATTTATATTGACTTGATGCGAAAGCGTTGTCCATCAGATCTTCCATCTCTGCCTAACATAACAACCATTCAGATCCTAAAACATTTGGAGAAGTACATGACTCACGAGGATTTGTGGCGTAAGAAAGTAAATTTGAAGCTTTTTGTTGATTATCTATGTGAACAGTATAACTGTGATACTCCATGTGAACTCGGGGTCCGAATACAGAGTTGGACTGGCAATTTCGGTATGTTACGGGGGCACTTAACGACTGTTTTCTTTAAAATATCTGTTCGGAGAAGTAAACGCTGCCTATAATTTTCTTTTGCTTGAGGACGGCTAATAATTTCTAGATGAACGTTCCATTCATGTGCAATTTTCGAAGCTCATCTAATAAATTCCCTACGATTTTCTGAAGTTGAATTTTCCATATTTTTCTACCCACGTTACACTTTTCTTCTTAGAAAAAGAAGACCTAAAATTCACGAAAACGCTTGCTACGCAGGCTATCACTTTCGTAAAATGTTAAATTACACGTAAAATTTTCGGAAAAATAGTACTGAAGCCTTTGTAATTTCGAAAAGACTTAAGTTCCCCTCGGATGACCGAACAGATAAAAATTTTGTAGCGCCGCTTAGAATGCATTTCTAAAGATCTAAATGTACTCTGGATAGCCTAAAAAGTGTTTTCAACGTATTTTGAAGGAAACCTGATCTATATTTTAATTTATTTAATTTATATTGACTTGATGCGAAAGCGTTGTCCATCAGATCTTCCATCTCTGCCTAACATAACCATTCAGATCCTAAAACATTTGGAGAAGTACATGACTCAAGAGGATTTGTGGCGCAAGAAAGTGAATTTGAAGCTTTTTGTTGATTATCTATGTGAACAGTATAACTGTGATACTCCATGTGAACTCGGGGCCCGAATACAGAGTTGGACTGTTGATTTCGGTAAGTTACGGGGGCACCTAACGACTGTTTTCTTTAAAATATCTGTTCGGAGAAGTAAACGCTGCCTATAATTTTCTTTTGCTTGAGGACGGCTAATAATTTCTAGATGAACGTTCCATTCATGCGCAATTTCCAAAGCTCATCTAATAAATTCCCTACGATTTTCTGAAGTTGAATTTTCCATATTTTTCTACCCACGTTACACTATTTTTCTTAGAAAAAGGAGACCTAAAATTTTCGGATTCTAAAATGTGTTGGAGAGAGGAATCAGAAACATTCTCACTTTCGTAAAATGTTAAATTACACGTAAAATTTTCGGAAAAATAGTACTGAAGCCTTTGTAATTTCGAAAAGACTTAAGTTCCCCTAGGATGACCGAACAGATAAAAATTTTGTAGCGCCGCTTAGAATGCATTTCTAAAGATCTAAATGTACTCTGGATAGCCTAAAAAGTGTTTTCAACGTATTTTGAAGGAAACCTGATCCAACCAACACAAAACATAGTGCTTAATTTATTTAATATCACATATCAAAACCAAGAAGCATGTCGAAAATGCCACACGCAATGGAGTTTTTCTTTATCTTTTATAGCTTTTTGTTTTGGAAAAGGAACTTTTCCATTGAAAACTTTCGGGTTTACAGTTTTTTTCTCAATTAACCAGTCCTCTCAGTTTAAGCCATAGCGCGTAAATAAAACGTTTATATTTACTCACATACTAAGCGTTCTGTAGGCAAGTAGTTGTTACTTGTTAGAGAATTCAAATAGGAAAATTAAAAGTAACGTTATTTGAAGTTTCCGATGTATCCAAACACTCAAAAACTTAACATTTTTCCACTCTTGATAATGATGTTGGATACATCGAAACATCGAATAACGTTACTTTTAATTTTCCTATTTGCAATAGATGTTAAAATTGCTACATGGTGGTTTGCTTCTTTTGCTGATAGGTGATAAAAAGTGCCAAAAAATGTGAGAGCGAAAGATGGAAAACTATTAGAGAAGAGGTCTTGGTGTAAAAGGATAAGGAGATCAGGAGAAACATGCGAAAAATCCAAAAGGATCTTTTAGGACAAGAACTTGGTGATCTGAGGAGCTGTGTGATGAAATTTCTTGATGTGTCGCCTGTTGTCGCCCTCAACGAGATATTTCAGTGCTCCATGCAACTATTTTCAATGAAACATCTGAAAAAAAATTTCAGAATTCTTAACCATCATCACAAAAGATTCCTTCGGAAGGCAGTTATTTCAGCTGGCTCTTGCTATGAGCTGCAAGCGTCTCCTTGGTGATGCTTTTGAACAACTAGTGGCAAATGAAGGACAGAAACATCAGGGGTCGCGACACCAACTTACGGAATTACTTTGTGGGTGGGCAGGGTCACTTCCAAACAACTTAACTTGGAACTAATAATACTTCGTTTCTTGAGTATCGTGGGTTTTTGACCGTTTTGAAACTTACATGTAGGTGATAAGAATTATTGTGCTGTAAATGTGCTTTTGCCTCGTTACGTATAAGAAGCGCACTTCTTGTAGATTTTAGATTGTTAAGTTGTAGTTAAAGTTAACCTACTGAATCTAAACAGTTGCGATATAATTTAAATAGGCTCTATTTGGTGATGTTTTAGTACAGTCTAATCTCAGTATTATTTCAGTAATGGTCCAGATAAGAAGGCATGAAAGCCAAAACGCAATGAGCACTTCCGAATGCAAAAAGGTGCTAACTTTACTCACTGTGCCTACAATGGTTCTGATTGATTTAAACATCAAATTTTACGAAATCTTCGCAAAGCAGCATGTTTATTAATCCCTTTTTCTCTATTCAACTTCTTTCTAACAAAATCTCGTTTACGTCTAAGTAACACAGAAATCCTATGTGCGGAATATGTAAAATTGCAAACTTTTCTTGGCTGTTGTTTCCAACTCTTAGGATTGGTCGAAATCTTTTAACACAAGAAACACCCTTAAAAGTGAAGTTTAAATACATTTTATTTTGTAAACTGCCTTTTGGAAGGTTTATGCATTCTCTGCGTAAAAATGAAAACATTTCTATATGAGGAAAGCGTATTGCGCCACAACAAAAGAAATTGCTTCCCTTCTCACCCGAATAGGATTTTAGGACCTTTATGAAGGTTTGGTATCTGTTGTATTGAATGTGAAATTTTTCTCGTCATAGCTGAGTTTATCTTTTTACCTAGTCATTAATCCATTTCTTTGCCCTCTTTTTCACTGTAATGAAACAATGCACTGAATTGTTCTTCTTTACTCTACGTATAGTGTAATTTGATTTGCTGTATGCTTACTTCCACTCTTCTTTATGTCCCATAGTCAACTTTAAAGATATATTCCAGGGCCGTAGCTAGGGGGGCATTATCGCGAGTGCCGAAGGGACGAACCTTGTAGGGGTTTTAGGGGTATCCTCCCCCAGAACATTTTCAAATTTGGAGGCTCCGAAACGCTATTTTCAGCACTTGTCATGAGATGTCTCCGAAAAATCGACCTCGAATATGAAAATGGCAAACAGTTGAGAGTCACTATAATCAAAATAACTTTGGTATAAGAAAAATAAATCCATCCACAGACTTGATTTGTCTGGCTCAACAGGTCCGGGGGTGGAGGGCAGCTGCCCCCCTTACCTCCCGCTAGCTACGGCTCCGCATTCGCTTGATAATGAATATAAGATGATACCATAAGGTCGACTTTTAACGCTCTTAATTACCTGTTTCTATTTCACTAAATCATTGTTGATCAGAAGTCAATTTTTAGTTAGTTTTTTCAGTACCTTTCATTTTCTTTATCTCCCTACCCCCTAGATTACTTCGCTACCTGCTACGCCAGGTCAATGTACCTCAAACTATACCTAACCAATGAAATGTTGTCTTGTCTTGTCGTCTCTAAGTAAGCCAAAAAGAATGTTTCTTTGTGTTAGACATTTGTGGGACCATGTTCGAAATAGAGATGTCTAACTGAAGGGCTGAAAATGATGTTCATTTTTATTTATTTATTTTTTTTGAAAAAGGCAAAGTCGTTGAAGAAGTAAAACAGTGGATCGTTAAAGCTGACCTTACAAGACTGGCACGCATTGAAGGAAATGTTGTCAGCAAATTTCTCGAGGGATTTTCAAACGTTCCAACGTGAATTTAAAACAATTCTCATGCAAAGTTTGAAGGGAGAGGGAGTAATGGAACGTATCATGGGACAATAAAGTGGCCAGTGCTCGGATCTTTTTTGTTTTATCCAATCAAAATTGGAAAATCTTAAAAGACTTAGACACGATAAGTAAAATACCCAATAGCAAGGATTAGCACTGTTGGTTAGGGCCTGGCCTTCTGTACGGATGGCTTCTTTTCGTGTAGCTTCAAGTAGCTTTAATGAGCGCACCGTCGACGTATGGTCTATCAGAGGACTGTTACGAGTTACCGACGTACAAAATTTGGAGCAGTACTTTTTTTGACCTTTTGCCTTTAACCTCAACGTGTCAAAAATAGTTCTATCAATTTTTAGCACAGAGTAACACAATTTGTGATCTGGGCAGTTTTTCTTTTATGTTTTTATGTTCGTAATTTTTTTTAGGAGATCATCGAAAGGAGTCCTTGCACATACTACGGCATCAACAAAGTAACAGATCTTGAATGTGGCTCCTTTTCAAACATTCTGAAAAAAGCTAAAGATCGAAAGAAGGATTTGCCGCGATCAACCACTCCATTAGTGGTATATGAAGCACCCTATATATGTCAAAACTCTGGTGCTAGCGCTGGTACAGAGGAACATAACAGCAGTGTTCTTGGTTATATGAGCAAAGAAGACGCAATAGCTGCAATTAGAAGCACTCCGCTGTTGCAAGATGTGGCGCTGTGGACTCACTGGGACGAAGTGTATGGCGGTGATGTGTCCAAACTTGGTGACTTAAAGTCGTTTTTGGAAAATGAAGAAATCCTTATAAACGCTGGCAGGTCATCCACGGGTCTCGTCCATGGGCCGGCTCTTGCTGTGATGGAAAGTTCACCAGGAGTACTGTTACGTGTAACTACCGAAACATACATCTACCGACATCTTCAGAGACTGCGCAAGTCGTGGTGATCCAGTTGGAGCCGTTGGTCATCTGTTTCTATGGTGATGATGAATGGTGGTGTTGCTAACACTCCTGTTGCGCTCTTGTCAAATCACGTGCAATCTGCACTAGCAGCAATGGCGTCCCATTATCGCTGCTGTGATTTTGTTCTCCAGTGTTTAGTGCGAATGCCTCGCAGACTAGCACAGGCTGTTGGAATGAAGGTGAGGCAATATACATTTAGTATTTATTACTGACTTTAACAACATAATATTGTTTAAGCAAATGGATTAAGAAAGCAGGGGTAATTAAAAAGCGTGTCTTAACATATTTCCTTATGGGGATCTAAAAGATATTTACAAGACATCGTGTTGATTCTTTATTAATTTTAGTTCTAGCTGGAACAAAAAGCAGCCACATCAATTCTCTCCTTCTGAACATTACACCGTAATCCTTATCACAACCCAGCAGTTAAACATATTTCTTTATTTACTGTTACTGGGCAATGACCGTTAACAAGAGGGTCAGAGTGTAAGATTTTTTTTTCTCACCTAAGGAAGTGCGTGGGTGGCCTCTCTAACTCTTCAAAGCTTCTCAATCTTTATCTGCCTTGCAACTTAATTTTTTAATCACCTGGCTTTTTTGTTCTATTTTTTTTTTCAGGTTTTTTAAGAGCCCTTGAATAAGTTAGTTGGCTCAACCGAGCCTCCTTTGCTTCTTCTATCGAACTGTTCGACCCAGATTCAGCGCAGCCGACTTCATCAACTGGGATTTGCTTTACGCATAAGTCAATGGGTTGAAAATTTTCATGAACAGGTCTCTGGGGAAGACGTTAATTCAGTCAAGTTCAAGAACAAAAGAGGCCGATTGCTGTGGTCAAACCTGTACCATCGTCTACTGAACAGACCAATCAGCTACTGCTACCTGTAGCAGAGGTTAGTAAGAAAATAAACAAGGTGTCCAACAGATCCTCATTTCATGATTCCTCTGACGTTCACTGCCTTTACAACCTGTCCTATTTGTATCGTCTCAGTGTTGCAAGCGACTGGTTTGGAAACAAGTACAAAGCGGTACCATTGGAAAAATATAGCCGGGAGTCAAGATCCAAATTGCCCAGAATTTCAATTTCGGCTAACAAATACTATTCTTTCTCGTCCAAGTGAAAGGGAGTTTATTATAAAGCACAGGACTGAAGTACTGTTTTTGTTCTTACAACGTCACAGGGTTTTCTACCTGCCCGGCAAAATGTTAACGATATAACAGTTCTCTCCGAAGAAGCAAGCATTAAAGTTGACGATGAAGAAGATGGTGTGTAGATGTATTGTCTTTCTTTTTTTTTTCCCCGTGTCTCTCTGTGCAACTGTTCTTTGACTCCTTCGCTAAGGTAAGGGTCACTCGAACCTCCCCGTGTAACAACTACCTGTCGAAAAGGACCACCTTTACAACACATCAAAATATTACAGTTAAGCACTGGAACCTCTCGTAAGCAATCACATCTACTCTCTTGACATGTGATCTACGTTAACCGTATGTATGACACAACTCAGAGTATACCAGGCACGTTTAAGGATAACAGGATACTGCTTGCATTGTAACTAAGAAAAAACATGAAAAAAATCTAGCGGGAGGTTCGATTGTTTAATCTATGCGTGAACACTTTACGTAAACGGAAAACACAGAGTCCGTCAGGAGGGTCTGTCCACGATGGAGTTAGAAGTTGCTTATATTGTGCTGCGCAGTAATGTTCTTGAGTTAATATAACTTTATACCCAATGCTCTAAGGTCTTTTACGAGTATAGATTAAGAATTCTGCAAGTCACTCAATATCTAAACTCAAACTACTTTGATTTTTCTAGCTGTAATTGTGAACGTTGACACGAGTTTGGAACAATCACCATCTGTTGCACTTGGCACTGAAAATGAAGACGAGTGCAGGGCAGTAATCGAGCAGATTCGCCGAGAAGAGTTTGGAATTGGTCTTGAACTTGGAGAAGTGGAATCCAAACTTAGGGGTGCAAGGGTGGCGCAGTGGTGTGAGCACTCTTCTCCCACCAATGTGGCCCGGGTTCGAATCCTGGCGTTGACGCCATATGTGGGTTGAGTTTGTTGTTGGTTCTCTCCCTTGCTCCGAGAGGTTTTTCTCCGGGTACTCCGGTTTTCCCCTCTCCTTAAAAACCAACACTTTCAAATTCCAATTCGATCTGGAACGCACGGACATGTTTCAACGAGTTCTTATGAACTCCTTAGTGCTCCGTGGGTAAACAAATTACAATTTACAATTTTTCAATTTTTTTTTTCCAGCGACAAAGGGAGCGAGAAGGGCGTGGTTTACATCGTCTCTCGACCGAGCTTTACTCAAGAGACACAAACTTTGTTTTGGAGCTTGTACAAAATGCAGATGATAATTCCTATCCTGAAAACATCTCTGATACGGGATACCCGTCCCTTGTATTTGTTCTCGAGCGAGATAAGATCGTGGTCCTAAACAACGAAGTTGGATTCATGGAGAACAATATTCGAGCGTTGTGTGATGTTGGAAGAAGTACGATAGGGGCTCATAGCTATGGATACATAGGTGTGTTGTTTTTTTATTTGAAAGGAAAAATACCACAGCTTAAGTTTATCCTTAAAATAAATAGTTCTAAAGGAAATTTTTTTTTGATATGTTTAATAACACACAGTTTGTAAAACTTCCAACTCTCCTGGTGTCTCAAACGCGGTAAGATGCCTCTACTTTTTGATTAAACTAAACGCAATTTAATGAAGCAAAACCTCCATGTTTCTCGGTAGGGCAAAAAGGCATCGGATTTAAATCAGTATTTCGAGTCAGTGATTGTCCAGAGATCCATTCCAATGGTTTTCACATTCGTTTTGACGCTAAGAGTGGTTCTATTGGATACATACTTCCGCAATGGATTGAACAGGGATGCGAAGAAAAGCAGAAGTGTGATGACAGAGTTGAAAATAGGCCGGACAGCCATCTCCATGACGATACTGACGCTGTAACAACTGAGTATGCCAGGTACACTCATTTTAATTTCCTCTTTCGTCAAAGTCGCATTCATCTCGTTTACCTCGTGTTTTCTTTTCTTTTTTTTTTCGGAAATTAGATGGTCTACTTGCATTGTCCTTCCATTGAAAGACCATCATCAATCATTGGTTTGCCACTCGAAAGTAAAATTCATATCTTCGCGCCACGGTGTAATATCCTCTATATCTTTCTTACCTTGTTTACCAATTTATAGCATGGAATTATGGAATTGTTATTGCATCACCATTACTTCTTATCTATCTAGTTGAATTTCTTTTTCTCTTAAATGTGTAAAACGGTGGTAAAGAAAGTTTCACTTGTTCTTTTGAAACGTCGCTTTGTGGCCGTAGAAATGTTTATGTACGTTAACTTACGTATTCGTTATTCGTTACATGCATTGTATTCTTTCTGTAAGGTATTTCCTGGACACTTATCGACGAATCATACTTAGACTCATGTACAGGATCTAAAGCTCGTATCATTGACTGGAAAGCTTTCCTCTCTGAGCTTGCAGTTCAACATTGTCTTGCCATTAAAAGGAAGCAAGCGAAACTTCACAGAAACAACATGGTGAGATTCCTGTTACACCCGGTTAAAACTAAAGAGATATTAAGAGGATATCTTTTGTCTCATCTTTTAAGAGCGACGGTCAGGAAAAATCGAGCAAAATCTTAATTTCTATCAGGTAGATAAGAAACGTGACGTAGATTGTTCGCGCCAAAAGCGTTTTATTTTTTGGAAAAGTTAGAAGATCGGTTTTTGATGTCTGAGTCTCCAAATTGCCCAATTTTTAACCTGAAATTCGCTAACATCAAATTTCTTCGCGTTCGCAAACAAAGCTGCATGGAGAAATTTGGACACCTTCAATGAACAGAACGATTGTTTTTCTTTCACTAGAAGATACTTGCAGGGCAATTGCGAGGCTCGTCGTACTGAAATAATTCGAAAATGAGGGATGGGTTTTAATGATAGAGTGGTTTTCGTTTGAGTGTCGTAAAACCAAAACCAAAGTAATTACTCTGGCCAATCACATAGGACACAGATAATACATTGAACCAATCAAAACTCGAAGTAATTACATGTGGCTGACGCAAAGCGCGGGAAAATGCATGCGAGCGCGTCACAATTGGCTTTGGTTTTACTTCTGATTGGATGAAAAGGTGGCGCGAATCTTTTAAGCCAATCGCATCGTGTAGAAAGTGCAAAACCAATTACTTTTCGACACTCAAATGAAAACCGCTCTAACAATAACTTATTTCGTTACTCGTTTTCGACGGCAATATGTAACAAGTGGTACATCTTCAAACTCTCTTCGTGCTATTTTAAATCACTCATTTAGACATTCATCTAAAAATACCTGGGAATTGGTTTGGATTGTTGAAGGAAATCTCTGTAAGACGCCGCTAAGTTCAGAAAGTTTCATGGTAGGCCAGCGGTAATTGTGTAAACACTTCAAATTTCGAAACGCACAAAAGTAGATATTTGAACCGTAAAGGTTCGTTTTTTGTACTTCTTATAGGTTTCCCCATTGCAAAGTTGCTTTAGGTAAAAAGGTCAAACTGGGTCAATTTTAGCCATTTTGAATCACTGAACTCAACCAGCAGGCGACTCTGCGTGACAATCTGTTCCCTGACTGCACCTTACATGACGTACGTACACCTGTATTTGAATTGACGCAGACACCGAGTCGGTGCCTTCAAAATGACAGTCACGGAGTCACGGTAGTAACGCAACGCAATTCTTGGAAACTTAACATTTCTACGCCGACAGTGTTTTGAAGAAGAAAAATTAAACGCGCTAGCGTTATGGTACTGACTTTTTGTAGAGAAATAAGGCCTTCGACAACGGTAATTCGCTAAGGATGACGGATAAAGAAGATATTTTGCTTTGTTATATTTCGAAACGAAATAAGCCTTTAAATAAGTTATTTTAGTCACGCTTCACTATATTTGTCGGACTTGGATGCTTCCATTTGGAGGCTGCCTGCCAAGCCAGTTCTCAGGTATGTTTTATATGAATGTCTAAATGTGTGATAAAGCGAGAGCTAAGAAAATTTGGAGTGATACCACACGAAGAATAATTCCGCTGAAAGCAACTACTATTAGTTATGCCAGTTCAACGAGTCTCGCTAATGCTTTGAAAGTATCTTCTAGTGAAGAAAAAAGTTGATGGAAAACGTCCAAATTTCTCCTTGTGGTTTTGTTGGCGAACGCGAGGAGGGTTGATGCTAGCAAATTTCCTTATTTATATAAATGATATATCTAGCAGCTCTGATAAATTGATGTTCTACTTATTTGCTGATAATACCAATTTGTTATATGCTGACAAAAATCTCAAATCGCTTGAATCTATATTTAATGAAAAAATTTCTAGGGTTTATAATTGGCTAATCGCAAATAAATTATCGCTAAATATAAAGAAATCTAACTTTGTCGTTTCTAGACCAAGACAAAAAAAGTTAAATCACCAAGTCAACTTGAAAGTATTTGACCATCATAACAACTCGTACATTTCTTTAGAATGCAACAATCATGTCAAATATCTAGGTGTGCTTATTAGTCTCGCTTGCGTAAGCAGCGAGACTCATAATCTGCAATGCGTTTTTCTTCGTATTCAGGACACAAAAGGGAAGTCATTGTGCCAGGCATTCCTAGCGGAGACGGTGCAAACTGGAACTAAGAATCGTTGCGCGACTGAAGTCACGCTTGTTTTGCGAAGAAAGCTTAGGAAGTATTAAATATAGGACTTTTCCGAAACGTGTCGGTCGACGAATTCTATCGCTTGAAAGCGTTGATTACTTTGGAAAAAGTGAACACTACTGAGTGGTCGAAAAAAAAATATGAATCTTAATTAGCAAAACTGCGATGGTCGGGTGTTGTAAACTTTCATTGTATGCAAATGGATCTTGTGATGAGCATGCGGCTTATTTTCGACGATGATTGAAATGACGTGCAGGTAAATCACTTGTTTGATCTCTGGCAATGATGTAATTTCTCTGGAATCGAGGCCGTTGAATTTTCGTGTATTTATACACGCGTATAGCCTGCGACCGCAGATGAATTTCCGGTCGTCGCCAACACGTGTACTAAATCAACTCAGAAACAAATAAAAAGTGTCGACGTCGATAAAGTAGGAAGTAAAGAACCCTCAGCGAGTAAATGCTGTTTCGTGTAGAATTAATCGCCTCCTCGTTTCTTGATCTAATCTCCAAGCAAGCGAGATTGACCGGCGTTGTAAGAGCGTTCTTGTTAATGAAAATCTTTCGTGGAAATACCATATCGCCCACATCGCTTCAAATTATTATATTACACTTTGTACCCCTGAATACTTTACACCACGTATACATATTTCTTATCCAGCCCTACTTATTGTATGGCATAGTCACTGGGGACCAAGCTGCTAAAACTGTGCAAAAACAAAATTCTTATACTTCAAAAACACGCTCTCCGCCTCAAGTTCTTCGGTGACTACAATTCTCATGTAAACCTCCCTATTCAGAACATTTCTCGTGAACTAGAATATAAAAGGAAGGTGCTTTCCATAGATTACTTTGTAATTATTTCCGCCAATGTCATTAGCGAAATACCTCTTTGCCAAATTAAAGGATATAAAAATATCAATTAGATCGTAACGAACTAGGCAGGAAATTAATCATCGGATGATCTGGTATTAGCCTTCGTTTTTCTGGGTGAGGAACTCCAGAGCAAACATTTCTGAGGTGTGAATCCTGAAATTCATTATGGCTTGCGGATTATTTATATCCTAAACTGCCTTTAATGACGTACCAATTCAAGTGCAACTCACAATCGAGATACAAACAACTTGTATACCAAAAATTTTTTTAAACACGCTAAAAGTCCTGGTGGTGCAGTGGCGGATCCAGGGGGAGGAGCCAGGGGATCCGGACGCCCCCCCCCCGTTTGATTTATCCCCTGACCCAAGAAATAAAACGGAAATCTGAAATCTGACAGAGAAGGCATCCCCCATACACACCCTATTCCATAGGTAATTCGTCTCGAGTTATTTTTAACACCACAGATCTCAAGGGGGATTAGACAACAGCCAATCACATAGCGCGAATGTGTTCCGCGTGGATGCCCCACGCTCAGAGGCACGTGTCCTTCACGAATTGACGCAGAACAAAATGGCGGAAGACGCGGAGAGCGATATTGCTATTCGTTTTGTCGACGAAAACGACTACAGAGAGATGTCTGCTAAAGCTGTGTCAGCGAAACGGAAATTAAAAAAGAATCGCCCTTCCTCTCTTGTATAGAGCTAACAGTACAGTAAGGAAATCCTTAACACAAGGAATATTCTCTCGGGATCATTTAGAATTTACAGTTTGAAGAGAGCAATTTCGGGTTTGATATTTATTCTTTTATTAGTGTTTTATTTTTCAACAACAATAACACTTGGCGTCCTACTTGTTTTATTGTACAAACGATCGGTTTCAATAGACCGGCGAAATTTCTCATTTTATTAAGGCACTGAGGTTACGACAACTTCGAGTTAAACTGATTTCACGGGTTGTCAAAGAGTCCAGCGATTAGCTCTCGTGTCAGAGACATCAGGGTTCATATCTCGTAAAAAGCTTTCTTTACACAACTGCTAGCGCTGCGTCTACAACTGCGTTATCTCCTTTAGGGTTTTTTGCAAGGCAGGAGACCCAGCAAGCAGCTCTTGACCTGTTTGAAAGATTACCTACAAAAACATTTTACTTTCACTGATCAAATTCCTTGCCAGTTCAGTATATTGACCACCTTATATTCCCTCTTTGACGATTGTTGGTCCGATGGCCGCTTCAAATTTTGCAGGAAATTGTTTCCATGTTACTTTATCACTCGTAGAAGAGCTCCATGTACGACGGATTGTCGTATATTATCACTCTAACTGTGCCCACTAACAGATGCTGTTCCCGCTGTTTGCTGTTTTATTTTTTCTTTCTACTTTTACTGAGCTTGCCTTCCTTTCACCTCACACATTGAAAAA